TTCATTAAATTACCTCTGTTGGGCTTTAGAGCTGGCTCAGGGGTTAAGAGCACTGTTTGATCTTGCAGAGGACCTGGGCTCAGTTCCTAGCTAACAACTACATGGTAGCTAACAATCATCCCTAACTCCAGTTCCAGGGGATCCAACACCCTCTTCTGACTTCTATTGGCATCACATATGTATGGTGCACTTATATTTAAGTGAATTAGTCATACACATAAAAATTAATTAAAATTACCCGTCTTCTATAGATAAACTTCTTCCTGTTTACTTACACTTTTATTTACCGTAAGAAATATAATACATTATACTTTCAGAGAAACAGAAAATATGCAAGTATATGTGTACATATTTGACTTAGTTTGGGAATGACGAGGTTAAGAATGATGTCGAATTTTTATTAAGCATTGTACATACATGTGTGCGCATGTGTATAGAGTCCAGAAGTCAACCTCAGTGTCATTTCTCAGTCTCCATCTACCTTGTTTTTTGTCACTGGCCCAAGGCTAACGTGGCTGGCTGGCCAGTGAGGGATCCTGTCTCATCCTTCTCAGTACTGGGATTATGAGTGTGTGCCATTATGTTGGGCTTTTTATATGGCTTTTGGGATTAAATTCAGGTTTTCATGCTTGCAAAGTAAACACTTAGCAACTCCTAACCTTTGTTAAGTTTTTAGGATTTTTATTTGTTTGCCTAAGCTGGCCTCAAGTGGATGATCCTGCTGCCTCAGCCTCTGAGTGCTGGGATTACACATGAAGCATCACTACAACAGTGACTTTTTTTTTTTTTTTTTTCTGAGGCAAGGTCTCCCTGTAGCCCCAGCTCTCCTGGAACTCACTATGTAGACCAGGCTGGCCTTGAACTCACAGAGATCCGCCTGCCTCTGCCTCCTGGGTGTTGGGAATCAAAGGCATGCAGCATCACATGTGGCTGAGTTTTAAGTTTTAAAGTCATTTTCTACCTGGTGCATATTGGAATGGGAGGGCAGGGGTGCAGAATGTGCCTCTCTACACGCAAGGGTCATGATGGGAATGTAGTGGCACCAAGGAAAGCCATTCAGCAATGTTCATGATATCAGCTGAATAATGGTCAAATCCTATGAGGACTTTCCTGGTTAGAGGCTAATTCTCATCCCACCTGAACCCCATGTACTTGAGGCTGTCTTTTGGCATTTGACTCTTCTGCCAATTAGTGAGGAGGTAGCTATGACATTAGATCCTTATCCTGTTGCTCTCAGAAATATTGTACATTGATCTGTTTGGTGATACGATTCTGGTCATCTGTGGTTTCTCATTGTTAAGAATTTCACCAAAGTCCTGGTCTTTGTTGACAATAAACAAGTTTACCCTGACAAATGTGTCCCAAGGGAATTTGTTGTAGTGCTGTAGGTATGACTGAAAGAACTGTAGGTTTCTGAGAGTGGTACAAGCATCTCCCCTGATCCTTTTCATGTATCTTATCCTCTCTGCAGCAGCCATCTCTGCTTCCTATATTTGTAACCAGTTTACAAGTCTGCATTTTGAACAGCCAGCTTGATGAGCAAGGCTGAGCCTTTCAGCACAATTAATAAATAGAGATGAAGTGATTAGCCCTGTGCTTATAAAATCACTATCCTTGGGACTGGAGAGATGGCTCAGTGCTTAAGATCACTGGCTTCTCTTGAGAAGACCCAGGTTTGGCTCCTAGCACCCATGTCGCAACTCACAACCATTTGTAACTTCAGTTCCAGGGGACTGACGCCCTCATCTGGCATGTGGACACACTAGGCATGCCTGTGGTGCACATACAATCATGCAGGCAAAACACACATGCACATTTTTTTTTTTTTTTTAATCACTATCCTTGTTTGTTTCCATGGCCGTTGACTGGGGAAGAGGTGATTCCCTCTAAGAGACTAGAGGAGCAGGGAATAGTGGTCTGGGGATAGGGAGTTTGGGATTGGACCAAATGCTGAAAGGTATCTCTGAATTATTTGTTTCTGGAATGTAAAGAAAGAATTTCACAGCAGGCATAGTGGTGTATAACCTGTAATCCCTGTACTCAGGAGACTGAGGCAGGAAGATTCTGACTTCAAACCAACCTGGGCCACATAGTAAAAAAGCTGGGCAATACTTCTGCTGATGCAACAGTAGGGTAGTCCTTTCCCAGCTGGCTTCACTGTTTAGATTGAATTCCAAACACTAGTTGAGATGAACTCAACACAGGCATGCCTAGTTGGAAAATGTTACAGTTTTCCAACAGCTGATTGATTTTAATGAATAGCTTTGCTTTCTCTTCAGTGAAAAATGATAGAACCTGTCAAAAGTAATTGCACTTAAATTTAGTTCTTTGCCAATGACAATGAAAACCCTCAGTGAGAATTTCTAAATTACTAAAACACTCACCTATACAGGTACATGAATAGCTGTTCTTGCTCAAACTCCAGAGCAGTGCATCAGAGTCAGCAGGAGAACTTTTTTAAAAAAATATTTTACTATTTTTATTTTATGTGTATGAGTGTATTACCTGCATGTATGTGAGTGCACCCGTGTCGTGCCATGCCGCGGAGGTCAGAAGAGGGCTTCAGATTCCCCTGGAACTGGAGTTAAGGATGGTTTGTAGCTGCCACGTGGGTGCTGGGAATCGAACCTGGGTTCTCTGCAAGAGCAGTCAGTGAACTTTTTACAAAACCAGAGGCTCAGGCTGCATCTCTTAACAGGCTCCCCAGACACCTATAGACACCAAGTTTGAGAAGTCTTGTTCCTAGAGGGACTTGATTTGTAGCATCTCCTGGGGTGGAAATCATAGTTAACCTCCCAAATAGACCATTCTCAAAATGGGATCTCTGAGAAATCTGACATTGGATTTCATCCTCACAGTGGGCTGTCTGGTCTCTCACTGCCTCAGCTGTACCCAGGTTTATTCTAATACCACAACTCTGAATTAACAAAGTCAGAAAACTTATTCTCCCTATAGCCTTTTACCAAAGTAAAATTAAATAAATCCAGCTTTATCTGCTGACAAAACTGTTGTGTCTTGCCGGGTGTGGTGGCACATGCCTTTAATCCCAGCACTTGGGAAGCAGAGGCAGGCAGATCTTTGTGAGTTCAAGACCAGCCTGGTTCTAGACCAGCTGGGGCTACAGGGAGACCCTGGCTCAAAAAGACAAAAAAACCTGTTGTGTCTTGTAGCACTTTCTAGTCAGGAGCTGACTGATTACATTATTCTCATGGTTCCTGTCCAGGTGTTTTGTTGTTGTTGCTTCCTTTTCTTTTTGTGATGCTAGGCATTGAACTCTGGACCTCACACATGCTAGGCAAGTGTTCTACCTTGAAACTATACCCCTACTCAACTTCTTTTTTTGCTTTTGAGTTTGAGGCAAGTCTCACTAAGTTGCCTAGACTGGCCTTGAACCTAAAATCCTCCTGTTTCTGCCTTTCAAGGTTTGGGATTACAGGCATGTGCCATCACACCTGGCTTCCACTCTGTCTCATAAATGGGTATATTGTCATAGAAGCTCAAACAGATTAAAGTTGAGTATTTTGGTAAGAATACTTCATAAAGAGGCCTGGTCTTTTGTTAGGCTAGCAGACATTTATGATCATCATTTTGCAAGCATTGCTCATTAAAGTTTGCAAATTATCTTTGACTATCCAATAAATGCTGACCACACAATGGAGGGACCCAGTATATTTATTTAGAAACAATGACACTAAACCAGACCTTGGTTGTATATATAATGGATTTCTCTTAAGAACACACAGACTCTTTTGCTTTCAACCCTTGGGAAAGGGGAGTGGGGATCACACTTAGGCATGTCTTCTATTCTCTTCTGACTATCTGAGTTACCTTAGTTTTCTAGGTGCCATCTCAACTTGTTCCTTTACATAAGGGGTGTCTACCAGTGCCTTTCTGCTTGGTACAGCTAAGAGATACAAATCCTAAATGACTAATAGAATACATTGACTATAACTAAAACTTGTTCGAATTTTCAGTCTTCTTTTATTTAAAGATGTTTTTATTTTTGTTTATTTTTAAATTTTTATAGTTTAAATTTTTATAGTTGAGACAGGTTTTCATGTACCCCCAGACTGGCATGGAACTTCTGATCTCCTGTCTTCACCTCCCAAGTTGCTGGGATTACGTGTAGGGCCACAACACCCAATCTTAAAAACAGGTTTTTGTTTTATTTTTATTTCTTTTTTT